GACCTGCTTAAAACCAAATCCATGCTTACTGTAGAAGTTATAAAAAAGGAACAGTCATCATTTTCTTTTTGATGTATCATTATATATGATACCTGTGTACTAAGTTATTGATAAGGGCCAATAACAGTTGCTAACTGTTAAACAAAAGGTGTGAGTCTTTTCTTTTTCTTTACACACACGGAGCATAACGCTGTAAGAATCTTTATGGTGCTGACTCATTGGGGTCAAAGGCTTCATGCTACTGCACATGATATGACACACACTGTCTTACACTGTAAAGAAAAATACATACATATTTCAGTGGAAATAACAATTACATTTTTAAATGTTGTTTTTTCACATGCAGTACTTTCCCATCAGAAACAAAGACAACCCGATGGGGGGGAAATGGTTTTGAGTGAAGAGTGTAAGGAATGAGGGCGAACATAAAACATAATGAGAAACAAAGTGCATGTATAGATGTTTGCTTTGCTTGCCTTGACAAGGTGATTATTCTCATGTGTTAAGTCGAACCACACCTTACTGAAGGCTGAACAGAGGCAGCGACAGAGACTTAATTTAGTGAGAGGTGACACCATGCTGATAGATTATCATGCTGGGAAAGTGAGAGTGAATCAGGAAAGAACACACGCACCATAGTGAGGCTTTTAGCAGCAGGAAGTTCAGCATATTTTTCAGTAAAGCATCTGATGATAGTGAGTTTAGTTTAATTAATATGGACATCACAGTAGCATTAGAATTACTTAAGTGCACAAGGACCAGATGCACTGTGTTTGATCAAATAAATACTAAAGTACATACACAAAAACAGGGTTTATAGGTAACACATTTGAAATAAAATGATAAAACCAGGAAAGAGCATGTTCATGTAGGACAAAGAAAACTGCTTTAAAGGAATCAATTTATCATCCCATTAAAACATTACTATTCTCATACATTACATTACATTACATTGCATTTAGCTGACGCTTTTATCCAAAGCGACTTACAATAAGTGCGTTCGTCCAACAAAATACAACTTGAAGAAAACAGAATCATATAAGTACATCAGGTTTCATAGAGCAAAAACATTTCAAGTGCTACTCAACTGGCTTTAGAAAAGCCAGTCCTTTATTAGTATAAAAGTGCTTCGTTAATAGTTCAATCGCTTGAAGTGGAGTCGAAAGAGATGAGTTTTCAGTTTGCGCCGGAAGATGTGCAAGCTATCTGCCGTCCTGATGTCAATGGGGAGCTCAATCCACCATCTTGGAGCCAGGACAGCAAACCCACGTGTTTTCGCCGTTGGCCGTCATACAGTATGTCTCCATGGTGAACGAGAAATAAAACAGTCTTAATTAATTAAAGTTAATAGGTACAGTCTTAAATCAAAACCAAACTATATCAAAACATGTCACACAACTCGTGCAATATAATCTAAGTCTCATTTATCCAGTCGTATGCTCACTACTTCACGAGTGCATGCATTTTAGCTAAAACCTTAATATTTAAAACCCTCCTGCATGTCTCACGCTTTTGCAGACACGCTACTCTTCCATGCAAGTACTACTCACAAAGTCTTTTAAATAGCGAAAATGCATGTGGTAATGAATAAATGATTGAAAACAAGGCTTATAAAACTGAGTGTAAGAGTTAGTGAACAGATGTTTTGATACAGATTTGCTGTTGTCAAATGCTGCCCCAATAGGAACTCATCAACCATTTTCTACTTTTATGGATTCTTTGTTCATTGCGGTCAATGCGAGACATACTTGAAGACGGGGCGAATTGTTGATTGACTTTAGGGGAAAGTATTCCTTTTCAGTTGTAATTACCTATGAAGATTTCAAAGCTGAGAATATTAAGTTTTTTCAAGATGTGACAATGGTGGTGCCTCATTGGTTGTGTTTCTATGTGTGTTTATGTGTATCCAGGGTGCGTTCTGGGGCCTGATGGTGGGCTTGGTGGTAGGTGTGTGTAGGATGGTGTTGGAGTTTGCTTTCCCGCCTCCCAGATGTGGCGTTGTAGACTCGGCACCTGATGTTCTGCGCAGCGTCCACTACCTCCATTTTGCCATTCTGCTCTGTGGGCTCACTGCTATCGTGGTGACTGTAGTTTCCCTGCTCACCCCCCCGCCCAGCCCTGAACAGGTGTGTACATACAGATATAATGAAGATCCATTGTCCCGGAGGGATATTGGTTTTCACAGCCAGTACTAAGAAACATACAGATATACAAAGAGGCTAGCATTTCGTCTCGTCTGTATGTTGTCTCAACTGAAGGTTGAGCTTCATGTTAAAAGACAGTCAAAAAGGCCTTGCCTTTCTAAATCCAAAAGATCAACACCCTAAGAGAGAAATCCTACAGCACAGAGGAACTATTGTTGCTCTCAATAGAAAGACTATCTATAATCTAAATGCTTCATATTTCAAGTCCTGTTAATACCGCCGATCAATTTGACACATTACATTCTGGCCTGTGTGTGAACTCAAACTGCTAACAGTTGCATTACTGATGTCATTGCACATTTTAGTACTATTTAGCACAGACAACTAATCACAAGGAAAGCCAGTACTTCATATCCATTAAAAATTAAGAAAGCTATAGTTTTATATAGGTGATTTATGTTAATTATGTTGAATGAAATTGAAACCTGTATTTGTATTAGAACTGAATAATGTTATAATGACAGTTTATTCTTCAAATTGTCTTGCAAACAATAAGTGTGAAACTTAACATGGGAAACCACTGATCTACAGTAGTGTAGTATTAATCGAATACGATGGGAAATAATGTTATTTGCCTAATTGCAAAGTGTTATTAGAACACTAATTACACTAAGCATAAAGACTAAATTGTGTGGAAACAGCTAGCCCGACTATATCCAAATGTATTTAAGTCTGTCTACCAGACCACGGTCAACATTATATCTGATGCGTTATAGCTTTAGATTTCCATGGTAGACCTGAGAGCGATATTGATCTTCTCACCTATATAACTTATTTAGGAGTAAGTAAGTAACACTACAGGTGTTAACCTTTAACACACAGTTTAGACATTGTACCTGATTACAAAAGGAAGAGTGTAAATCATATTACTTTTGTTTAAATTTGTTATTCTTTTCTTGAAGGGTTTGGGTGTTATCTATTGAGCCTTATTGCGTGTAGCAATGTTACAGATGTGTATTGATGTATATTCTGTGAAATGTTGTTGACTTACGCAAAGGGACTTCATGAAGAGAGGCTTCAGCCGCAATACAGCATCTAATGGGGCTCTTACCAAACAAAGTCTCTTTAAGAAGGTTTAACTCTTCTTTTACGCCAGGATGTTGTCAATGTATATGGATTCTTTACATATAGTTTACACTGTAGGTCGTTGCTAGTAAATTCATGTTGGATTTCATTTTCTTCTCTCACAGTTGCTTAACCTGACCTGGTGGACATTGACTGAAGAGCCACAGAGAGAAATTCCTCTACAGAAAGTGTCCTCTGTCAGCCACCGTAGCTCCCAGGGTAAGGGTCTGAATCATGGTCTGAATATTCACAACACTTGGAATAAAACCAGCCATCATGTGATCAACACTCATCCACACACACACACACACACACACACACACACACACACACACACACACACACACACACACACACACACACACACACACGCACACACACACACACAAGCTGATGTTATTGTTGAGTAACTGTGTGTGTGTGTGTGTGTGTGTCTGTGTTGCAGGCTCTGAGCCAACCCGGCGGGTGACATGCGGTCAGGGCACAGGGTTGTGTATCGCAGCAGCGCGGCGATCAGAGGAGACTCCAACTCCCAGAGTTCAGAGCGTCAGAGAGAGTGTGTTCTGGTCCAGGTTCTGCGGTGTCAATGCAATCCTGGTTGTCAGCATTAACATTTTTCTCTATGCATACTTTGCCTGAGTTGAGGATCATATTTCACATCCTGTCTCACCCTGTTGCTGAACTCCTGACAAAATCAACTCCAGATCCAAGAAGGTGGGGAAACAAACTGTGGTTTCTGTACTGATTTTTACTTTAATTCAACATAAATCCTCTAGCCTCAGGTGTTCTCATTTCAAACTAAACTAAGAAACACTAAGAGAGCACCTCTAACCAAATGTATTATTTTGATTATTAAAAAAAATTGAGATTTAAAGAAAAATCTAAGTAATACTTTAATTCATAGTTTATTGTTTTGTTTATAAAACTTGTCTCTCCTATTTTGTATAACCTAGTTTCAAAGTGTTAAAAGGATATTGTACAAATTACGATGAAGCTCGTGGCTTGAAACAAGCTAACATCAATCTGCAGTTTATAAATGATGACATATTAACATAAGGGCATTACACATCATATATTTAAAGCTTACAGAAAATTAGAATACACATATTTTTGTTTTGTTGTTGTTGTGTTTAACGTGGAAATCTATTTGCTTAATTTTACTTACAATGTTATGTTTATGTTTATGTCCTAAGCAGGGTTTTGTGAATTTAAGTTACTGTTTTAGTTTTCTTTCATGCTATTTGGCTTGTTTGTGAATATATATCAGAATTTCTCAACCTTTTCTGGTCCCAAAAATTGCCCAGCTTTTAGTATTTTAAATGAAAATACACACACTTGTGTTTTGAATGAAATAGTGCATTAGAGCATCTAGATTTTATGGAGATAATGTGAAATAAAGGTTTTACAGATGGTTCAGGGTTGTTGGTTTTTTTTCAGACATTTTACAGTTTATCAGTAATACAATGTGCCTCCTGTTTTGGTTTAACAGCAGACTCCCTCAACGGACATTAAACCCAAGGTTGAGAAACTCTTTTATAACATTTATGTTAGGTGCGTTTAGATATCTTTTTTTATTTTAGTCAAGACAGAATATCATGACAACCTGTCTAACAGATGTTTTTCTCTTGTGATATCCCAAATAAATTATAAGATATGTGCATTAAAGTTACAATTGTTGGTCCAAAAATAAATGCAGGTTAGAGTATTTATAATCAGATAATAACACTCTTTATTTGGCTACTGTACAGTTGACTTACATTCACTATGAAGGAGGTTAGAGGGAAAGACATGACGGTAAACAAAGCAAACATAGAGTTACATTTCACTTTTAAATAATCATTTTAATACAAGCTATTGGTGAAAGGAGGAGATCGGGGCTCAGAGGACGAGTTGTAAAGTTTCACTCTAGAGCCGCAAAAATGATATTTCCTATCTATGAATATGAATAGTTTTTTTTATTTACTGATTAGCCAGATATTAGTAAAATATGAAACCCACTGAAGTAACATCTGTAAATTGCCTTTTGTGTAAGAAATACTGTCCAAATCCAAAGGTATTCAATCAATAGTATAAAAAAGTCAGCCCCAGTTAATGCAGTAAACTCCAGTGAACTCACTTGAGGCAATTTTACAAGATTTTGCAGAGCTCTGTGGAGCTTCAAAAGGCTTTAGAAAACGGTTTATGCAGCAGAGTCTCCCAAGACCTCTGAACAGACTTTGGTGTAAAATGCTTGCAGTTGGAAAAACTTCACCAACCTTGGAGAAAACACTGCTTTCCCCAGAGCTGACTGAGAAAAAACACTTTCAGACTATTCAATCACCACATATTTTTACTCCCAACTTGCCAAATACTGCAGCTTGGTCAGTGGTCCTAAACTTCAAACTAAAGCTGTCAACTTACCCCCTTAGCATCAGTTTAGCAAGTGTCAGTTTCAGCTTGTTACGCATACAGTGTCTATTTAACATGTGCAATGTAACTCAAACAAGTCAACATAGACTCCTGGTTTCATATGGGACACGAACACCAATCTTATGACTTATCACACTAATCTTATGACTTATCCATTCACCCAGACCCCTCTCTAACTCCCTTCTTTTCTCCCACCATAATTACAGCCATGTAGAGAGTTGTAGTTTGAAGTGTAGGCCCAAGGTCGTCCCTGGCCAACATGAGGCCCCACGCAAAGATATATGATGAGGCCCTCTGTTTCGCGAGCGTCGGTGGGCTAGTGGAGCCTCGAAAACCGTGCCGTGCCACACTAATTGCGCCGCATAAGCGCATACAGTATAGGTGCGCCGCATTTTCGGCTCAGTTGAGGCTCCCTCCGCAAGGTGAGGCCCCACGCAGTCTGCGTGATCGGCCTGTAGGAAGGGACGGCCCTGTGTAGGCCCACTAATCAAGCTGGTGTATTTGACAACTTGCTAATGAGAAAAGGCTGTCAATCAATACTGAACATTTGCGTGAATTCATTCCGTGGCTATGGGACTAATTACATATTGGACTAATTGTTTAATCACTAGTTGCATAAGAAAGGTAAGTCACTACAGCCTGACAGAGGAGTCTCAGCGACAGTTTGATATGGTGTCAGTGGTACAGCGGCCGAACGTATTCTGGCGGGAAGATTCCTACTCGGCCTCGACAGCGCCCCCTCCAGGCCAGAGAGCTCGAGCAGTCTAGCAGGTCGATGACGTCACCACGCAGGAAGTGGAGATGGGCGGTGTGAGGGGGGGTGTAGTCACAGAGGGCATGAGCCAGACGGGGTTTCTACACAAAGACAGAGCAAAGACATCAGACAAACAGGAAACTGAAGCTGATTACCAAGAGAAACAATGCTTCATGATTCGTCATCATACCCCCACAACTGGTTCGTGCAGACGCTGGGAGGGCTCTCTTTCATGGTGAGGGGGGTGAGAGTAGAGGTTAGCTGAGAGGAGGGACTCCTGAGAGGTGGTTTTATAAGGGTTGGGGTAGGGGTTACGTCCAGGATGGGGCAGCAGGTGAGGGGATGCAGCAGCGTCTCTCAGAAAGACCAGTTTCTCCGCCGCGATGCTGTGAGTTCTGTAGTAGTCCACCAGGCGGTTCAGGGAGCAGAACGTCTCGTCCCAGATACAGTACTGACCGCCCCCCTCCAGCACCCGGAAATGCTCCACCCTCTCACCATAGCTGCAAAATAAGAGTGGTGAGAGAGGTAAAGGAATTAAAGGCAAGGTAGGTATGCTTTATGCTTCAAAACCACTGTGAAGATGAGAGCTGTGTTGTTCTTCATTCCTCTACCGGCTCCTTTTGTTAAGAAATGCATGCAGAGGTGATGTGCATACCTCTGTCAGTTTGGGAAATGAGTCCACAATCATCTGGGTGTATCTCTATCTATCACAGGAGGTTTTCTCTCAGACTATAAATCTCAAATGTCAACACACACACAAGTGAATACATGTGCAACCTGAACGGAACTGTTTGAAAATCCTGCGGTAGTTTGTAAGCACTAATGAAAGAAATAGGAATAATAGATAAGAGCTGAACTGAACACTAAATTATAATTATTAAGTATTTTCATCAATTAATTGCTTGTCATTTTCAAATGTATGCTGGTTCCAGCTCCTCAAATTTGAATCTATTAATAAAAGTCCAGATATATATATATATATAGAACACAATCAATGTATCAATACAAATTATCTGCAGAAACACTTATTTTAAATGCAACCCTAATAAAGACTCCGGGGCTAGTAAAATACCCTACCAAATACATCATTGTATATCGGCTATGCTACATATTTGTATTGTATTGGTATCTCATATTGAAAGAAAAGAACACAATAGTATATTCCACAAAGAAAACTCTTTTATGTTTTCTTGTGAGTAATTGCCTTTGTGTCATTTGGTTTGTGTAGTTATTTAAAGACTGAAGTATATTAGCATTTCAACAAAACAGTGTGTACTATTGCAGTACTTCAAAGGTTTCAGTCTATTGTTCAATGCCTACATGTTTTTAAGCTTGATCCTCCCTTACACACCTGAAGATAATCATGTAATGACTCTGAAAGGAGGCGGACGCTAATACCAGGATTTGTTTGATGAGAATTGTCAGCTGAGGAAAAAAAAGGTTTTGGGGATTTTGTAGTGTTATAGTTAATATTTTACGCAGCACAGTGGTGTCCTTCCTGTACAGAGTCTGCATATTCTCCTTAGTTTCTGTCCCAGTTGCCTCCTACATTTTATAAATAGGGGTAAACTAGTTTCAGACTTTGAATTGCCCGAGGTGTGCTTCTGGAGCTATTTCAGCATGCAGTACCATTAATAATTAAATTACAATAGCTGTTATCAGCTGCTCGATCTCCTCTGTCCATAAAAGGCACACTTAGAAATGTTTCTTGCAGTATGTACACAGACTGTTTGGTAGCACTGTGACTTCCACCTGTATAATGCAACATAAACATATGAGTCATACTCTCTATTTAATGCATTATAATGTGATAGAGTTACTCTTAAATGGTCATTGTTTGTAAAGAAAATAATAATGTATGCATGAACACTCAAAACATTGTAAAATTATACTTTCGCTTTGCAAACAGTTCATTCTAAAAGTAACTTATTATAATGCATTATAACAGTGACTATTTTTGTATGACTATAACACATTATTACATTATTATAGTACATTAAACTAATGAGAATTATAGTAAATTATGATCCTTGTGATTTAAATGTATGATTCAAGTCTTTATAATTTGTTATTACTATTGTAATAATCATGAATATTTATCAAAGTGCTTGTAATTATAATTAAACAGCGCCATAAGCAGATTCTAATGCATTATAAGTATGTTTGTAATGCATTATAGTCTAACAACCTCATAGAAATCGCGACCAACTGTTTTATAACACACTATAAACTATAAACACACTTAGTTTAGAGAAAATAAATAGTTTTTAATTTGGAGATAAGATAACTGTGACCTATATGATAAAAAGAATACAAATCTGTAGAGGATGGTCAGTTCACGTAATTTGTCATGATGTCATCTAAACTCATCTAACTCTGCAGACATGAGAAAAGTGAAAGAATCCTCTTTAATCTGCTGTTTAACATTTAAAAACCTGTCTCGTGACTCTTTTGAACTCAACCTGAACTGTACCCCCCTCTGTGGATCACTCCAAGCACTACGCTCTGTGGTTGTGTTTCAGCTTGTGTGCATAAGTAAAACAAACCTCTTATCTCTCTGCCCTTGCAGTCAGGCAGATGTTGTGCCTTAAGGCAATAATATGTGCAGAGTATGTACTTTAAAACATGCTTATGGCATGTGTCAATTGCATAATGTACCTGTGTTTAATGAAAGAATGAGTGGTGTTATACAATGCCCCGATTATTGAACACATTGAATTCATCCTCAATGATTAAATGTGTCCCACGTCACTTTGCTGACCCAAATTACAGCTCCTTACACACACACACACACACACACACACACACACACACACACACACACACACACACACACACACACACACACACACACACACACACACACACACACACACACACACACACACACACACACACACACACACACACACACACACACACACACACAGTTCTATTTTTAGTGGCAATGGGTGTGCGTACTACATTTTAAATAGTCTCACTCTCCCCTCCACCAGTCCCAACACACACTCAGAGACACGTGGATCCTGTAACTTGCTAACGTGCTCAGTGTGATGGAAAACAAGCATCCAACTGCACGAATAATTTAAGACTATTGCATTTGGTGATCTAAGATGCTGCCACCTGCATGTTTTATGCAACACTCCTAAAGTATATTCCTTCAGGGAGATGTTAAAGTGTCTTTTAGAGATCAGGCCCTGAGGCTCTCTGGTGGGTTTAATGGGAAATTACAGCGGTACAGCAGATTCAACACATGCAAATATAACTGCTGCAGCACTGCACACAAACATTTTGGATCCCATTAACATCACAATGGGAACAGACAACAGAGGAACATTACGTCAGCATGACATTTGTCAGATTTGTATCTTGTGTGCGTATGTGTGTGTGTGTGGTGCATTCACTGACCTAACAGAAACAGAAAACTCTCCAGGAGCTGATTCACTCTCCCTCACCAGGAACACTCCGGTGTCCTGCCAGCGGAGACGCTTTTCGGCCTCCAGTCTTGACACCCGTCCTACAAACCACCTATACACACACACACACACACACACACACACACACACACACACACACACACACACACACACACACACACACACACAGGGGTGTTAATTATACTCTGCTCTTGGACTTTTATATAACAATGAAGTCATTATTATATTTAGACTGGAATAAGCAGTAGAATTTGAATGAACAATATACTCATATGTATATCAGTGGTTCCCAACTTCTGAAATACTTAAGACTTTCACCTCTTTTGGCCTTGAAAACGTAGTCAAATTAAGCAGTCTGAGGAGGATAAATCACTATTTGGTCAAACACAAAGGGCATAACCTGTAGTGAGGAATCACAAATGTACAGTGCAACATTTCAAGTGGTTCAAGTAGAAGAAAAGTTTGGGAACCACTGAAGATGGTATTTAAAAGATTGATTGATTGATTGATTGAAAAGTTTATTAACAGCTTGTATATTGGTCCCCCATTTCCAATTCATCATAAGATGTATAACAAAATGTTTGCAAGTACATAAAGCAAGTGTTCTACTCTAAATTGTTTCAAATATAGGGACAATGTTGTTTTTTACGGATAAGGAAGAAGGGAAATGTAGTTCTCTGGCACGTAGCCACGCTTCCCCTTGATCTCTGCTGTGACCCAGCTAGAATCATCCTCCATTTCTGTCACCTATAACACACATGCACAATTATTATTCTTACTTTATGAACTAGCAACGCTTTGGTAACTTTCAAAGACTCCGAATGCATCAAAGTAAGCATTTACACACACACACACACACACTTACCTTGATAATGTCCCCTTTCTGGAAACTGATCTCGTCTGCTTCCGAAGCTTCGAAAGAGAAAAGAGCCACCGCCTCCATCCTGAAGAGAGGAGTCGGCAACGAAAATAGTTTCACTTCATGAATGAAGAGAGAGAATACAGCTGTGCGATTAGAGCACAGCAGCACTCCAAATATAGCAAGAGATCACCAGTGTGTGTGTGTGAGTGTGTGCAGCGCTGTTCATTAGTTAATGAGGAGAGTTTTCTCTGCGCGTGTGTGCCGCTCTTCCTCCATGTGACGGAGATGGAGATGATGAACACGTGGAGGTGGAGACTGTCCTCTACATCTCCATCTCTTATGTCTTTCTTTTAAACTCTGGGGCTTTAATGAAGCATCTCCACGAGGGAAATCAGGGATAGTGGGAGGAAGACAAGAGAGTGGGGGAGGATGAAAATAACCTGAAAGAAACAGCAATGACCTCCAGTGTTTATGATTATAACAAGTCTTTGCAAAGGTTAACCGAGCGCTTCCAGCTGATTCACACATAATTTTAATTATCAGCTGACATGAGGAAAACTGAAGCCTGTGAAGTGAGAAGGGGTCAATGATGTATCAATTAGATCTGCAACAGTGGCAATAAATATACATTAAAAAAAAAAAAATACTTTTCATTGTTAGGGGGGCCACAGGTCAGTGTTAGGGGGGCACTGCCCCCCCCCCCCCTAGAACCGCCCCTGATCTGTAATGATTGCTCACATTTTTTTAATTGGTTAACCAACAGTAAAAGTAATCATCAATTGATAATAATGGAGTATACATTTAAAATAAATGTCATGCCAAAAGTGTCTTTTTTTTAACCCACTCATATTGAGATTTGCTGCTTTTCTAGGTTGTTTATACACAACTAGATATGTTAGGGCTTCCGGACTGACAAAACAAAACGTGTGAAATCACCTTTACTTTGTAAGACTGTAAGACATATTTTCTGATATTTTATATTCCAAAAACAATATATATTACATTTCATAATGATACATATAATATAACTTGATTATTAATATGGATGCCAATGTGTCAATCACTCTATAGTTGCAGCATGTGGGAGTCATTTTAGCAAGTCTATATAATGGTAGGTAGCTTAATTTTCTTTTATTTACCCGTCTGGACAAAATCTCAAACCTGAACTGCTGATCAAAATATTGTGTGAACATTCAATAAACAAATCTGTAAAATGTATAATGAGAAGAAAAAAATTTGAATATATGCTGTTTTTTATTGAATCAAAATGATATATTGGTCATTGCAATTGTTTGTGGAATTCCCAAACGTGAAAATGTTGACACATTGAAATTGCTCAGCCTCACATCACTATAGAAACAGGATACATGTAACAATACAGTAATTAAAATAAGGGAAATTACTATTTTTCTAATGAAACCAACATATCACAATATCATCACTGACAAATGTACCCTGAGTTTGAGGGGAATCTCTGGATTGGGGTTTTAGTAGGTGATGGTCGGCAAAGCAATTTACTGTTGTGGACTGGGGCAAAAGCAAAACTGATTTTAACCACCTAGAAAACGAATCAGTTGAAGTGCACGCTATGTTTGGATTAGTTTCATCCCATTACCTTGCTGCCAGACAGTTATTTCATGAGGAGACCTGAAGATGTTATCTAAGCTCTCTTCAAAGCCCCAAGACTACTTTGACACAAATGGTCATTTGACTCTGCACAACGCAGGGGATGATTAGTTAGTTTGTGTTACTGTGTGACCTGTGTGATTCCAAACCAACCTAAGTCACTGCTATTGATCTTTATAGGTGAGTAATACAATAAACAGTACCAGGGTGTGCTAATCACCATCTATCGACTGCAGATCCTAAAACCCCACCTTAAACAATCCAAACTATTGTGTAGTTCATAATTGATAACAAAACAACTTAAGGCTGTGTGTGTGTGTGTGTGTGTGTGTGTGTGTGTGTGTGTGTGTGTGTGTGTGTGTGTGTGTGTGTGTGTTAGTAGCAGTCTACTATGACCTCTTCCCCTGGTTTTGTGTGAGTGGCACTGGCCGTCAGTATGTCCTGCAGCAGAGAGAGGGGGGAGTTGTGGATGTGGTCGCTGCTTTGAGTCAGGACTTCCATCCTCTCGTCCAATCCCAGAGACCTCAATGCCTCACACACACTCACACTGTCACCTCCCTCCTCTGCTCCGTTGAGACCTCTCTGATCAGCGATGTCCTCCTCTTTGGCCTGATCGCTCTTCTTCATCTTCAGGATCTTTATAATCTCTCGCCCCCAGCCACAGCCTGGCAGTTCACAGGATACTGTTGCCATGGCAGCCGATGCATCCAGTGCCCCTAGCGATAGAGGACAGACTGTCTCTCTGAGTGTTATCAGCAGGCGACAGGCCTTCAGAGCTACAGGTCTATCGCAGTCAACCAGCCCACTCAACAGCACTGAGACGACTCCCTGCTCCACCACAACGGCCAAATCTGACTCAGAAACTACACTATAAGCGTGTGGCGAGGCATGGTGGGAGTCTGAGCCCTTTTTGTAACCTGGGTGACCTGAAAAGGCTTCGTCCAACAGAAGCTCAGCCAGCACCAGCGTGTGAACTTTGACCTCCCAGTCCAGATCGGCCCTGCCTTGTGAGAGGACGGAGCGCACACTCTGCATCAGGAGAGAGGAGGAGGAGGAGGAGGAGGAGGAAGATGGAGGAGAGTGTGAAGAGTACCATGAGATGAAGTATTGTACTACAGCCCTCCTGGGGAATCCCTCTGAGTCCTGGGAGAGGATTTCAAGCAACCGGCTCACTATTTCAGGCTGGAAGGACAGAAAAGAGTTCCAATAAAAGTCAAACTTCTTAAAACATTGTGCCTATATTTTTAGGTATAAAGATACCATGTAAATGAACCCAGTTAAGCATGGTTACGAGTGTAAATACACTTTACAGAATGCAGACAGGAATACAGACAAACCTTTTAGACCCAAGTCAAGAAAATATATGTTTTTAAGGTCTAAATGTTGTGGTGTCCACTTTGTTATCATCTATAGTTGTTCATAGTATTATCTCTGATTAAAATATTTCGTCCAGTTAAAGTAAATACTTACAAAATGATCAAGGTCTAAAAAGTCTATTGTAAATATTTGTCTCAAAAGTGGATAAAGTCCATTTATGACAGCTTCTGGCAAACAACTAAAAGACTTGCGCACACACATGAGGAATACACCACCATGACAGGCAGCCAAATGAAATGGACCATTTAAATGTATTACAATGACAGATTCCTCTAGGTTGGAAAATGATTGGATACATTTGGGATAATGTAAGCACACAACTCAACATATATCTAACATGGGTCTAGAATTAGCTGCAAATAACATTTTATACCAATCATTAGGAATCGGACCCCGCTGATAGAGGGTGTGACGAAGGTAACTTTGTCACTATGGACTGATGGCTTCAGGCCGGGTAATATTGCACTTTATTAGCGTGATTGCACAGTACAGTTGACATTACATATTTGCACATAATTTGTACTAATTATTGAGGTAGTATTTTTTAACTGATTAAACCGTATTTATTGGAATGTCGTCTGGCAGGTGCTGGTCGGGTCCTCGGCTCCGCCTGAAAAGATAGGGGAGTTTGCGAGAGCGCCGAGAGTAGTTATGCTGGTGTAAGGATGACAGCGGTTGAGAGTAATCAGGGTGCAAATAATATGTTGATGTCTGTGGCTGATGATTGTGTGCACCTGGTGTCCTGTGTTGTCTCCTCCCCCCTCACCTGTGTCTTGTTAGTATGTGTGTATTAGTGATGTGTCGGTCGCGAACGAGCCGGCTCAAAGAGCCGGCTCTTTTAAGTGAACGACGGGAGCCAGCTCGCGCCCGCGAACGAGCCGGTTTTTTTTTTTTGCGGAGGGATCTAGATCGGCATGAAGGCACATTATGCAATGTGTACATTATCCCGCTTATTACATGGCCACATTCTCAACAAATTAACGACATGACTCCCAATATTAATTAAATGCTTTTATGGATTTAGAAAATGATTTTATTGATTTATTGAGTTGTATTGATTTAAATTGACATGCATCCGCTAAGAAAAATAGTCCGTTGTTACTGTTTGAACTAACGTAGCAACGGCAGGAACTGCTTCGAGAGTGTTTTTGAGGAGCTTTTTGATTACAGATTTGAAAACATCGTTGCTTGCTTTAAAAGTAGCACAATTCATGATGTCAAACCTTGGAAAGTATCTAGATATCCCTGCCCTAATGCCAAAGTAACTGGCAACTGAATATGTGTCGCCGTTTGATGTCTATGTCTGGACCGCTGCGTAAAAAGGAGGGTTTCTGCCCCATTACTTCTCTTCTTACTTCTATAAGAATAAAACACGGAGGACGGGAGATCTCTTTTTCTCCCCCTCTTCTGACAGCCCAGCAGCTGACCTCAGAGCACGCTCCCCTCTCCTGCAGGGGGGCGTGGTCAGCTGGAGCTCACAGAATCATATATATACTTTATATAGATATGGCCCTACAATATATTGTTCAAATATAGCATGATAGGTCCACTTTAAGTAATACAAGACAGAATGATGATGATGATCTCCGCGCTACAGCTGCTCCGTGCATGCATGCAGGTGACATGTAATATCCAAGGATTAGAGACGGTTGGATGCTGCTGTTTTGAGCATTGCAATATGTTTATTTTCACTATGTTATTTATTTATGATTATCCTTAGGCTCAGCAAAGATTTGATGTCAGCTGTTGCTGTCTTTTTTTCTATAGCTAATAGTTACTGAAATAGAGCCCTGCTGTTTTGTCAGGGCCTTTTCTTTAAATATAATTTTAAAATGTCGATACAGTAGCCCCTTTTTTTAAATAGTTTGTATAGGTGTTGCTATCTGTTTTGTGTAGCGTGGTTCGACAAGCAAGTCAGTGCATTCATTGGGTGGTATCAGAGAGTTACACGGGTCTGTAAATGCAATGAAAACATTTGGCCACAGCAAATCATTTATATTAAACATGTCATTTTTACTTTTGAATACTTCAGTACAAAGGATGTATTGAATAATTTAAGTGATATATGTGTGTACACATATAAATCATTAGTCAAAACAGGGCTACATTTTATTTAATTAAAAGGTATAATATGTGGTAAACTGAAGAGCCGTTTGGGAGCCGAAAGAGCCGGCTCTTCTTGGTGAGCCGAGCCAAATTATCCGGCTCACCAAGAAGAGCCGGAATTCCCATCACTAGTGTGTATTTAGGTGCTGTTTCCTTGTAACTGGATGTGTGTGAGATCCTTGTGGCTGCAGGATGTGTGCAAGGAGAACAGCAGGATTGAGGCTGTGAACTTTGTGCACATGATTTTAATAAATGCCCACGTCGGGTTATATTTTTGGACGTTCTGCCTCTGCCTCCTTGCTTGGTCTGGGCCGCTCAACGGTCAGTCTCACAGAGGGACTTATGGTTTATTTCAACACAGAAAGTTCTTAGACTTTGTTCCAACTGTTTTTAGACTGAAGCTAAAACTATTTCTTCCTACCTCCTCCTCAGTGAGTGTCGCCCCCTGCTGCCAGCGGTGTGTAAGAGTCTTTGCCAGTGCAGAGATGGCGCTGGCCCTGACGTAACTCTCTGAGTCCTGCAGCGCCTCCCTCAGCAGGGGAGTGGTAGAGCAGCCGCCCAGCAGAGCCTCAGATGCGTCACACTCCTCTGCTGCTGCTTTAATGGAGTCACACACGCCTGCCAGGTGTCCCAGAAACTCCACCGTCGAGTCCTTCACCTCCCAACGCATGTCACACACACGCTTCTTCACTACCTCCACCAGATCTGAAAGTATCCATATATACATACATTTAATTTCAGAGACATATTATACTGCCACAGCAACAGTAGAGTGTATTCTGTGTGTGGATGCATCACACAGGAGAGTTTTTATGGTGACCTTTACCGTGTCTGAGCTGGTCTGTTATAAAGGAGAAGTCCGTGCACACACTCGTCCACTTTAATAAGGCCTGGTAGGACTTGTGGAGTACCTAAAAAACACAGACACAGTACTTGAATTGAAAGAATTTGATTGATTTTACATCAAATAGTAAAAAGGGAGGCAAAGAAATAAAAACAGTCAGTGAGTGATGGTGTCGCCTTCAAAGTCACGGCTCCCCAGTAGAAGAAGGTTGGAGACAAAATAAAATGAGTTATATTCAAGAGTGCAAATAGAAACACACAACTTACAGTGGGGTCAGAATCAGGGTTTTCCAAATATTGAATCAGAACAGTGAACACTTCGCTGATCCTCTCTTTCGCCCCTGAAATACACAGGATGGAGAATAAATGCAATTTCATCCTGAAAAACACTTTAGTTATGAAGGGACAAACATTTATCCTAATGTATTGTAGCATTTGTTTTTGTCAGTGTATGACAATATCACATTTAGTTTCAGAATATTCAATAAAGAAAGAGAGCATTGTTTCTATATAGGCAATCTCACATAAAAACAGTGTTACCTGGGCTGCTGGTGAGGCTCGTCAGAGCCTCGAGAGCACATTTCTGAACTTTGCCACTGCCGATTACATTCCTGCTAACCTCACTGCAACCAGTGGAAGAGGAGGGTGAGTTGCCACTGCAGATCTTTAACAAGGACAGAACTGCAGTGACAATTGAAACTGGAAGACAGGGTAGGACGTCAGGAGGCTGAGGTAAAGAGAAAGAGAGAAAGGGAAATAAGTCAGCTACACGTAAAAAAGACAGTCTCCTCTCCCCTGTTCTCTGTCGTCCTCACAGCCTCACCGTGAGTGTGATCTGTGGTGTGTTGCTCAGGCAGACACAGATCATAGAGATGCAGGAGGATTTGCTCTTTAGTTGTTCCACCACTGAAAACTGATGCTCGTCTGCTGCAAAAAACAAAATATAATTAGAAAGAAAGATGTATGACTGTGTAATGGCCATTGAAGGTAAAACATTTAAATTATTTCCGAGTTTAGTGAACATTTCTGAGGAAAAAAAACCTAATCCCTACAAAAATATGATAGGGTTTTTAGTCAACGAACCAAATTGCTTTTCACATTGGTTGGATCACACCAGAGACGCTACCATATGCCATGTTTTATGCCTTTGGTGAATGAAATCAAATTTAAACTTAGCCATTAGATTTAGCAATAGTCATATTTTCAAGCCCAGAATCACCAAATTATCATATCCTGACTTACAAAAAATACATTAAGGATACACTCAGTCACGATATACATAAAATAACAGATTGTGTATTTTTTCATTGTTTTTCACTGTGTATATCTGCGTGTTTTACCAGTGCTTATTGTGCCCAGTAGAGTCTGACCAGTCATAATGTCGAGGGGGAGCAGTAGTATTCTCACGGCCCGGGCTGTGTGGACAGTATCACTGGGTAAAAGAAGAAATCAGCATCCATGGGTAAATACATCCTGTTACGCATAGATTACTTGATGTCAGAAAACAAACCGAGCTTGTACGGGTGACGGTGAAGTCACATCCTATATGAGAGTGTGAGGTCGTGCTCTGAACAGATGCTTACTGGTGACCTCTGCGAAGAAAAGCAGCTGCAGCATGTATGAGGTCAGCGGGTTTGTTAATGTTTAACATGGACGATAGAAGACGGGTGATACGTTCATCAGTGCCGGAGCTGCTGGAGACACACATGAACATTGACAATTAACTCATTCATGTATTTGCTTTGCTTTTAGTCTGAAAAAAGCACTGTGTTTTCGTCCATATTATAAATCCCTTCTACCTGCATGCAGACAGAATGACGTCCATCAGAGGCAGTGTGAGCTCACTGCTGCCGGCTGTCACCAGTTCCTCCAGGGAGTCTCCGACTGTCTGCAGCAGCTTGTCCCGCAGAGGAGGTCCGGCCTGGGCCAGGAGCAGGGCCAGCAGTTTGAGGGTCTGCAGACTCTGACGGACATTTTTGCTTTCTTTGGGAACCAGAGACTCCTGGAGGTACCCAGAGATCGACTTTACAACAGCAGTATAGTCTGCGCTGCTTGGCGTCATCCCATCACCTTTTTCTTTTTTATCCACGCCTTTACATCCTGCAGGCGGGACTGGTTGAAAGAAGAGCAGTATGTGGGCGAGCATCTGATTGGCAGCTGCGGCAATAAATAGACTTGTGTCGGTCTGGAGTTGTAGAAGCGGGTCAATGAATTCTGGAGAGTGAGGAAAACAGATTTCAGTTATGAAATGGCTAAATTCTCAGTCTTTATTCCTAAATACACACACATTAGGAGACATGGGTAGGTTCGGTAATCATTCACTACCCCCTACATGCTAACCAGGGAGTTCTATGCAAAGGACTATATAGTGAGCTCTTGGGCAAAATAAAAAACACTTTTGGACACTCTGGTCTTTATCTTTGCGCTGTTAATAACGCCATTGCTGCATTAAAGCATGCTTTAAATGCTTTTAAATGCTTTTTTTTTCAAGGTTACCGGTGGAATCTCCATAATAAATACAGAGATGCATTTTGTGACAAGACACATGATTTTGTACTTTGTCCATTTTTTCCTAAACGAATGGAACAGGATAGACCTCTTTATTATTCACTCAATTGGAAACTTGTCTTCAGTTTCACAGGCATATATACACTTATAAAACTCCCTCTGCCAGGGGTTAGATTGCATGAGATAAAGAAACAGATAAATAATAATTGGGTCAATGAGTCACCTGATTGTACAAAGAAGCTGAGAGCATTCGGGTGCTGCAGCATGCTCCTCAAGCCCTGAATCCAGCCGATCCTTAAACACGGATCCTCCCAGAGTCCTGCTTCCTGCCAGTGCTGAAGGTTGAAGACCTCGTTCAGAACAGAGTGTTCCTGCAGAAGGGACATCACCAAAGTCAGACATTTTTTTGTAATAATTTAGTTAAAGTACAAGGTGTCATAAACCCTACCTGAATGGTTTTGAAGCTTTCCTCAGTGGCAGCCAATAGGCCGGTGAGTCTGAGAGCGAAGGAGAGGACACCGGGGTCTGAAGCAGCATTGTGAACCACAGTGGATATCAATTTAAGCAGACATGGGCAGGCCTCCAGCAGCGATCCCCCTTCATCGGGAGAAAAGGTAGACATTAGACAATGTACAGATCTAATATCCATCCATCCACACTTGTGCCCCCTCACTTATTGTGTCAAAAAGTCAGCTGTTCACTCAATTGTCAAAGTCAACTGACAAGACATCAATTGACAATTTCAATAGTTTTACTCACATTCTAAGCAATAATCAAAACCATTTATGATTCCAGCATCTTATATCCAGCAATGTCATAATGTGCGTATAATATGATATTATACTGAATAACTTTATGTTTTTGAGGGTTGGTAAGCAATTTGAATCTTGCTTTCAAGTCTTATGGTGGAGTATGAGTATATACTATATCATATAGTCTATATGGTGCTTTAGCGTTGCATATTCGCAAACAAGGTGGAAAGTACCACAAAAAACAACCAAGTGAGTATTTTTAGAGACGTTTGGACCCTCGGGGTTGCAGTCGCGCGTTGCCCAGCCTTATTGTGAAGTAGGGACACGTTTCTCCACTGTCTCCAATCACTAACACTTAGCTACAGACTAGAAGTAGTAAACCACGGAATGCATATTGAGAAGTCAGACCTAATACATCATGTGTCAGAGAGAGGGGAAACCAGGAAAAAAATAAGTATCATGACAGATTTCAGTACTAACCAGCCTCTGTAATCCCTGTGAACCAGTCCAGCAGTTTCTCCAGGCTGGTGTCATCGGGCAGAGAGCTCCCTGAGCCCGCCAGCACCGCACACACACCGGGCAGCAGCAACGCACACTCTCTGTCCATGGTACTAACGTGTGTGTGTGTTAACTAATGATCATTCAGGATGCACTGAAACTTTACAGCTATATACTTACAATAAAGCATACATAGCTAACGTCGATTCACTTGTCTGTAAATACAGTTAGATACAAAGTTATGTAGTGGAAGTGTAACAGCTAGCTTAACAAAATGTAGTTTTCGCTTGTAGTTCTGCTAAACGTCCATCTCGCGGGAAATAGTTTCGGATCTACCGGCGTCTCTCTTCTTCCTGAGTAAAATGTGAGCCGCACTCTTTGCTAATCTATAAACATATGGATGGATACATTACATGCGCAGGCGCCACGTTCCACCCTTCCATGTGTTTTACAGATCAGTTTCCCCACCGCACCTCGTCTTTACCCTCCGAACCAGTTCCGTTTCCGTCACATCGTCCATTTTTCGCATAACCGCACATGGTGCCGCACCGGCCGAGGACCGTCAGCCTCTTTTTTTGTGGGATTTTGCTCCGTTAAGGACGAGAAATCAGTCTCGTAGTAAGCCGATAAATGCAAGATACTGTCGATATGGTGGACGACCAGGAGTATGATGAGGAGGAGCCCTCATTCAGCGACCCGGAGGACTATGAGGAAGATATGGAAGATGAGGGTGAGCAGCGGCAGGATACGCGCCGGCTTTCCGGCCTGTTGCTAACTGTTAGCTTAGAGTCGTAGTAACGGTACTAGCTATATATGCTAATAAGATAGCTGGCATCTTACTTCGCTTTCCCGACCTTAATGTTAATTAAACAATGTGGTCCGATTACGAGGATTGAATCCTTTAAGTGTTTCTTTAAAGTATTCCTAAAATAATCTAAGGTAAATCGACGTTATCTCAGATTAAATCCACGCCTATTGAAGCCTCAACCAGACACTGGCCTTGGCATTTAGGCAATTGAAACGGGGTTAAAGCAGTCTATTGTTAAACATTTTCTTTCTGCTGTCTGAATGTGTTATTAAGGCCAAGACATGTATTGCGATGTTGAAGTATGGTTTGAATGAAGCAGCTGGTGATAAAGTGCAGTGAATCCTGACGCAGGGTGGATATGAGATATGAGCCCCTCAGGTCCACAAATGAAACATCAGCAAAATTAATAACATCACACTCAGGTGTCAGCTTCTATGGTAACATAGCTATATTGAATAACGTTTATTAAAACAGCCCTGCACGAACTTTTCCATATGTGAAGTACATAATGTTCATTTGGTATTCACACTCTTATGGAAAGGTTTTGGTAAACTTAATTTGAAATCTGTTTGTTTGGTGCTGTTGAATTGCATAGTGTTGACTTATTTAGTTTTTATTATTTTGTCGAACGCATTTATATCATGTGTGTAGATTGTTATTAGACATACTCCTCTAATGCAATACCATTTTTAAAAGCAACATCAACTAAAGCCTCACACCATAAATAAGGATTATCTTATCTCCAAAATATATGATTGAGTTGAGGTTTACTGAATACATTTGTTCTCTATATTTTTCAAGCCAAGAACCCCTTACAAGATAGAGAATTCACCAGGGACCCTCTGATGCATTTCCCTTGGAATGATTTGATCTAGCCCTTTTTTTACACTTCTATTGTTGAATAAACAACATTTTAGATGAAAAGTTATGTAAGAAAATATTATTATTTGAAATATGAAGCCCGTTGGAAAATATTTCATCCTACTTTATGTGAAATATTGTGAAAACCCTTTACCGACAATTAGCGCAATAAATATTAATATCTCAATTGTAATCTAATAAAATGTAGCCGGTGGTCTCTTTGTCAATTGAATTTGGGGCATGAAAATATATGTGATAGTCCGGTCTAACACAGACTACTAAAGTAAGTGGCTAACTGTTTCCCTCCCTTTCCTTCCCTCCTCTTCAGAGCTCATGGAGGACATCCTGAAGGAGAAGCCCCTTGAGGCTGATGGCATAGACTCGGTGGTGGTGGTGGACAACGTCCCACAGGTCGGCGCGGAGCGTTTGGAGAAACTCAAGAACGTCATTCACAAGATTTTCTCCAAGTTCGGCAAGATCGCCGCAGAGTTCTATCCAGAGGGTGATGGCTTAACCAAAGGGTAAGTGATTAGCTGTTACGGCCCGTCCACACAGCGGCGTGCGTTGAAAGCTTCGCCATTCACTTTGAATGGGGTGACCTCACTTTTCGCCGAACTGCATTGTGGGAAACGGAGCTTTGCTGGCGTGGCTCGCTGCAAAAGTTGAGCAATGTTCAACTTTTGAAGCCTCGGCAGAAGCGTCAGCCAATCTAATCGTATGCCAGTACAAGCTCTAGCCAATCAAACCGCTGCTTGTGTGTCAGGGGCGGGAGATTCATGTGATTGGTTGTTGGTCGAGTTTCAGACACGCCCGCCGGCAAGCTTCAACGCACGCCGCTGTGTGGACGGGCCGTTACTGTGGTATCGGAGTATATATTTACTTTACTGTTGAATGTAGGATATTAAACAGTCCCATGCAGGGGTAGACATTAAGGGTAAAAAGCCACTGGCCCTCCGGGCCGGTGGAATTGTATTATCACTGGCCCCACCATTGTAACCACTGGCCCGGAGCATTCATCCAAAAAAAATCGACTAATAATGAAGAAAATTAACACATTTGTTGCAATAGTAATTTATGCACTAATTACTACAACATTTGAACAATCAGTTCTTCCTCATTTTCCTCAATTGTTCATATTTGGTTTATTAAAATAATGATATTGTGGTCATTGTTAAAGAATGTCTGCTATTATTATGAGTATTATTATTTGTATAATGCACTTTCTGCCTTCCTGTCATTAGGAGTTAGAAATGTAATGGCTATAGATTAGATTAGAACCTTCATTATCCTAAACTGCTGGGACATTTCACCAATACCTTTTTATATTGTCTACTCTTCACTTACTTGTCGGCATTGATGTACAGAGCCAACAGAAGACCTTGTTTATATTGCCATCATATTGAGAGGTGCAGTGACGCGTCCTAAAACCAGGAAGTAAGCTTCTGGTTCCCTCGACAAAAAGCAATGGGATTTCTCCACAGGGTTTTGGAAAATAGCTGGAAATAAGGTCTGTGGAAAACAAACCTGTTTGATAAATGCACGTTTTGTTCAGCCGGATAATCTCCACATGTCTACCCTACTTTTAAAATCATAAATCTAATCGATAGATTCTAAAAGGGTTTTAGGACGCGTCACTGCACCACTTGAAGCCAACTCCATCGATCAAGCTGGCTGAAGCTTTCTTTCCCTCTTCTTCTCATGCTCCCTGTCACTCTCCTTTAACTCCTCCGGTGACTTTCTTTTATTTGAAGATTGTTTTTTGCACGGCGCTTGGCCGGTTACCGCCGGTATTAAAAAATGTTTGGCGAATGGTTAGGTGGCGCGATAGTCTGAAGGAGCGCGCTCGCGCTCACGGGAGCCTGCTCGAACTGCGCTCAGCAGCAAACAGCTGTTTGCTTTTCACCCAACAATGACAAGCGACTCACGAAACGCTATGTTGTAGCGTTAATAAACGAAACAATTTAACAAAATTGCTAGTCAAAATACCAATACCACAGGAAACATTTTTTTTTAAACAATATTTTTAGTGGCCCGAGCGGGCAAGTGGAAAGTACGTTATGCTGGCCCGGGGTGTCTAAATAGTGCTTCCGGGCCAGCGGGCCATTTATAATGTCGAGCCCTGCCATGTCTCCCCCAGGTACATCTTCTTGGAGTATACCGGTCCTACCCAGGCCCTCGAAGCTGTAAAGAACGCAGATGGATACAAACTCGACAAACAGCATACATTCAGGGTTAACCTCTTTACTGACTTTGACAAGTAAGTGTGCAGTGTGTGATAAGAATTGCAGAACATTTGACGGTGTGTGTGTATATACGTGTTAATTACATCGGTTTGCTTATTCCTCTAGATACATGAACATCAGTGATGAGTGGGAAACTCCTGAAAAGCAGCCTTTCAAAGACTTTGTGAGTATTTATATTATCACAGACACTTCTTCTACTCTAAAGTCATTTATTTTATAGGCTTTTTTTTGACAAATCAAAGTGAGCTTTTTCCTCAAATATGTTAGACATTATTTTTCCAGTGAATATCAATAAAATAATTTTCCAAACTGTAATTCTTCTCAGGGTAATATGCGCCATTGGACTGAGGATCCGGACTGCCGGGACCAGTACAGTGTCATCTACGAAGCTGGAGAGAGGACTGCCATTTTCAATAACGATGCTAAGGAGCCAATCGTATCTGAAGAAAGAGCAGTACGTTTTAATCCCACTTCAAAATGCAGCATTCACGGTGAACCTATTCAATTCAAATCAACAGTAGTGCTTTGCTTGGAGACTGATGATGTTTTTGTGTCTCGATGCAGCGCTGGACAGAGACGTATGTGCGCTGGTCTCCCAAAGGAACGTACCTGGCCACCTTCCACCAACGTGGCATTGCATTGTGGGGCGGCGAGAAGTTCAAGCAGATCCAGAGGTTCAGCCATCAGGGCGTGTCCCTGATCGACTTCTCACCATGTGAGAGGTAATCAATATTGCTGTTTCGCACTACTTATTGAATCATTGTTAGCGGTAGTCATTACCTGATGAAGTGCTTTTACTGTGTGTCTATAAGCGTTAGCCTCAAGTGTGAGAGAGTGATGGAAACTGATGCACCCATTAAGAATGTTGTTCTAATGAAGTTGTTTCAATGCGAATCTTAAACTAGAAAGGAACTCTGGCGGCCAACTGTCCAGTCTTCCATCATATGCAAACAAAACCACCACATTTGGAAATATTTCCAAAACTATAGAATTGTGTCAAATATGGTTAAGTTAAGGTCTTCTAAATTAGAATATCACATGTACATTGGTGAAAACAATTTGTGATGTATTATGTATCTGACAGATTGAAACAAATGTAAGAAAACAAATCATACAAGTTACTTGGTCAAAATACTGAAGGTCCTGGTTCAAGTATTAAATGAATCTGCTTAAATTATTAAGTATGATTGATGACTAATGTTAGATGGACGGCATTATTTCTGAATCGTCTGAGGCTCAATGTTTGTTGTTGTGTTTGTGTGCAGGTATGTGGTGACCTTCAGTCCTCTCATGGACACCAAGGAGGACCCGCAGGCCATCATCATCTGGGACATCCTGACCGGACAGAAGAAGAGAGGCTTCCACTGCGAGAGCTCTGCACACTGGCCCATATTCAAGTCAGTTTGGCTCTCTCATTGTCCTCATTGATTTAACCTCAATGTTGGATTCACATTTGTTTCTCGAGCAGTGTTTTCAATATGTTATAATGCTAATGTTTTTTGTTCAGATGGAGCCACGATGGAAAGTTCTTTGCCAGGATGACCCTAGACACACTGAGCATCTATGAGGCTCCAGTAAGTACATTTAATATAAAAAAATACAGTTTTAATTATTTATGTTA